TATCCTGCAAGAAGAATGGCTTAAAATCCCTCTGACCACTGTGCAGGACTTGTATATGTCATTCCCAAGACGAATTGACGCTGTACTGGCCACAAAAGGAGGCCCTACACCATACTAATAAATTATTATGGTCTAAAACCAGGTGTTTCAGTTTCATTGTCCAACCCCTGTATATGCTGAATGAGGATTGCTGGTTTTTGTGCATGATAAGGTCTAAATTCACAAACCCGATGGAAATACATGACTCTCTCAAATCTGTATGTAATTCAGCATTAATTGTGTGATCACAAGTGTGAAAGTTACGCATGAAATGCATAGTAATGCACCTTTAAACTGTGACAGATGTTGGTATGTGACGGTGCACTGATAACAAGCCAAATGAGCCTTCTTCTTCATAGCCAGGAGGACATGGTTTTATTTATTTAAAATAGGACTCTGAAAACGTACCCATCTGCAATAAAGACCTATAGAAGGGGGCATTTTTAAATCATATGTATTTGGGTTTTTTTTATACATATTTTAGTTTAGATTTTCAGAACTGGATTTTACCTTGTATTTGTGATAACAAAGATAAATAATATCCACCAACAGTTTAGAACATTTTCCAGAGCTGACTACTGAAGTATTGTCAGTTTTTAAAACATATTAATATAAGATTTATAAAACATATATATCTTCACATTCAAATATCATCCAACACAGAAGTTGAGATCCCCATAGTGTTTATAGTCCTCTATTAGGAAATGTTATTTCTAAAGCAGCTGATGCTTTTTTCTGGTAACTAAACATAACTTTACAACTGAACATATAACCTTGATTTTCTAGGTTTCATGTCTGTCTGAGTTTCTTTCATGCCATTTTTCAGCAGTTCAAGGCAGATGTTCTGTTAAAGGTTTCTTTATGCAAGGATGGAGTTGCTGAATTTAGCCAAATACATCCATCAATCCATTTTCTTTAACTGCTTCATCCGTACAGGGTCAGGAGGGAGCAGGTGTCAGCAGTCTACAAGTGAGAGGCATCACAGGGCAACACAGAGACACACAGGACAAACAACCATGCACACACCCATTCACACATATGGGAGACCAAGTAACCTAACAGTTAGGTTTTTGGACTCTGGGAGGAAGCCGGAGTACCCGGAGAGAACCTACCCATGCACAGGGACAACATGCAAACTCCATGCAGAAAGACGTTTGGCCGGGAGTCGAACCCAGGACCTTCTTGCAACAGTTCTACCAACTGCGCCACCATGCAACCCACTTGGATTATATAACAGGAAATTTATTTTACCTGATAGTCTTGTAAAATGCTCTTAGGCGTAGTGTTATGTATATAATCAGAATGTTTGTGCTAACATGACTGACAATCACAGCTGAGAAAATTTCAAATATATACCAAGTACTCTTTGTTTCTTTGCTTGTTTTTTTTTTTTTTTTAACAAATCTATAAATTACCTGTGGAAACATGCAAAAACAAAAACGTATCAGCAATTACAGCAAGGGTTTGATTGCTGTAAAGCCAAAAAAGATTTTTCCATACATTTTTTAAAAGGGTAAAGATAATTTTCAAAATTTTCAAATTATCATTTTAAGATATGTCTGTCTCATTTTTTTATGAGAAGCAAACTTCTCTGAATTAAAACATTTTTTTTTATCTAGTCATCCAGACGTATGACTAATTGTGGGCTTCACTGAGCCTGCTCTTTGTAAAACGACATTTCCCCGCCAGGCCTCTATGTGTCTCCGTCTTTTTTGTCTCACTCAGCAAGCTGCAAGCATGAAGAATAAAAACAGCAGGCAACACTTCATGAAAATAAGGAAGTAAACGCTGTTGGACTGGAACTGTAACGTTCCCTCTGTTGTTAAAAGTGAAATGTGTCATTTAGCAGCTCAGTGACAGAAGTATAACAACAGCTAAGGAAGTTAGCCTTTACCTTCATAATATTATCACAGCCAATATACACAGAGAGAAACAGTGGGAGAGGAAGACACGGACAGGTAAGTACACGCTGCCACCCTGCAGTATAAAAGAAAGAACAGAACTATGATTTATTTGTGTGAATACGTGAGTTAGAAAGAGGTGGTAGAAGAAGCAAAGCGGGGGAGCTTTCTCTGTATTGAGCATTCTTATTCTGCTAGTCTGAGTCTGCCTTGAGGAAAAGTAGACAAACAACAGCTCAGAAAGAGAAAGCATGGAGGTACACAGGTGAACAATATACTGCGTGTTTTTCCTCTCTGCAGTCCACTGTGTAGGAGTGGGCTGGAAGGACGTCGAAGAGGCATAAATACAGCCGCACATAAAAAAGAAAAATAGATAAAGGTCAGGGCCTCAGGAGAGCAGGAGGTGTTTGGACCCGCTGAGGATACACAAACACACACTCAGCACTTTATGTTCGTGAGTTAGTAAACAAGGAGAGAGTGAAAGAGGTAGTTCAGCAGGTGCAGACACAGGATACCACTTGGACAATGTGTTTTTGTGTGCATAGGGTTTTACATTTTATGATGTTTCTTCAGAACCTTGCCGTCCAAATGTGCTGCAGAAACATTTTGCTGATCAGTCATAACATTATGACCACCTGTCTACTAATGTGTGTGCTCCCCTTTTTTTGCCATCAAAATAGCCATGACCCATTGAGGCATGGCTGCTGCGGTATATGGCACCAAGATGTTAGTAGCAAATCCTTCAGGACCTAACTTGTTTGTCCAGTTCATTCCAAAAAGGCTTGACTGGATCAAGATGTGGGGAATGTAGAGGCTAAATCAATACTCAAAGTAGTTTTTGAGCTCATTAAACCATTACTGAAGCATGTTTGCTTTGTGCCAGGACATGCTATCATGTTGAGTGTGGCCACAGCCCTCAGGGAATACAGTTTCCATGATAGGTTGTACATGGTCGTCAGTGTATTTAGGTAGGTAGTATGTGTCAAATTAACATCCACAGTGATGGCAGAGCCCAATGTTTCCTTGCAGAACATTGCCTAAAGCATCACACACTGGCTATCAGCTTACCTTTTTCCCTTAGTACATTCTGGCCATTCATGTAATGTCAAAGAAAATGTGATTTGTCACACCACGGCCTTCTTCCATTCTCCGGAGAATGTTTTGTTTTTTTACTAAAATTGCATCAGGTAACAAAGTGATCTATGCAGTTGTTGTGATTATGAATCTGAGAATATTATTTAATATTTGATATTAATATTTTATCAAATAATATTTCGGTCTGTTAAGGGTTGTCCTGTGAATACCAGCCCAGTAAGGCGATGGTATTAGGACAAAATAGAAAGGTGTGAGACGAGCTCTGACATTATTGAACAGC